GCGCTACTGCATGCAGAGATACAATTTGACAATGATAAAAGCGTTCAATGAGGAGGGGTCAAAATCGCGATGAGGTGAATTTTGAGCTTAGTACGTGGTACGATTATTACCGGTATTTTATAAAGCCACCAAAAACTGATCCAGCTATATCATCTCGGCAAATCACTTTGACAAAGATATTGTGCGGGCAAATATTATCTTCTCATTGACTCGAATAAGTTTCAAGGCGACGGCATTCCTTCAAACTTATTCGTTGTGGGACTATCTCAAATCGTTGCTCTTGGAGGTAAATACGACTAGTCAGCGCGAGCTTGGCCGCCGTAGAACCTCATTTCATTGTAGGGGCGGCAGTAAAGTCGCTCTCCCCGGTCTACGATCACCTTTGCAGCTCTATCAAGGCCAATTTACGCGTCGCAAAAGCCTTACGAATCTATTGATTCAGGATCCTGCCCCAAAGCGCGGGTTCACCACCAAGAATTTGCGCGACGGCCGCGGTTGAGAGACTTGGGCAAACTCTGCTGACAGGCCATATCCACCATCGTATCCAGCATTCCTCTACTTCAACAAGCGCCCATCCTGCTACTCTAATCGCGAAGAATCCCGAGGGTGCCGACTTGGATGGTTGTGGCCAAAGACAAGGATCCTTCGCTGGCCTGAGCCCCACCGAATCCTTGAGCTTGATCCACCCTTACCCCACCTGCCTCTCTCGCTACTCCTATCGTCTACGAGTGGGGAAACATGTCATGATATGAGGCTGTGGTAGCGCAGTCAAGCTGTAGCCACGCTGGCGACTACTGTGTTGACGATGGCCGCGGTGGCAGCGCCGTTGGAGACTCGGACTCGAAGTATGGCATACGATGCGATAGGCAGCGATATGGATGCCGAGGGTGACGAGGAGTCGGCAGATGAGGTAAATGCGGAAACACCAGCCGCAGGCGCAAATGAGGAAGATGAAGAGGATGAAGAGGAAGACTCGGATCCGAATGTGGAGCCTGACAGCGATGAGGAAGAAGAAGAGGAGGAAATCGATATGAAACCCTCGGTCAGAAGTTCCGCAAGAAACAGAAAAAGAGCGAAGGATGCGGAGAGTGATGCGGAGGAACCTGCGTCAGATGTGGAGGAGAGCAGTGCTGCGGAAGATGATGACTCAGACAAGGCCTCGAGTGATGCAGAGTCGATGGTCGCCGAACAATGGGAGGCTGCGAGTGAGGGCGCATCGGGTGCCTCGGTGGAAGTTGCGAATCGCAACAACTGCGTGTAACTCTTTTCCGAGAACATCATAACCCTTTTTCTTAAGCTGATCGAAACACAGGTTCTGCGGTAACGATGAAGAAAACGACCCGAGCGAAGATTTTGAAGAATACATGGCTTGCTCTGTTTGCGGAGATAACTGTAAGTGATAAAGAATGTTTGATATCCAGAAATTCAAAACAAGCTTTACGTTGATCTCCCGGTTGTTCCTAAACCCTCGAGCTAACCACGAGCCTGCAGCCCACCGGCAATGTGCCCGAGACGCCAAATCTTTCAAGTCAACCGACGGTAAGTCAAGACTTGTCACCTTCCCCTCCGTAAATTAATGGCAACTTATATTTTCCAGATCCCTCAGAGTGGAGATGTCCGGAATGTATTGACAATGCTCTTGAACCTTCAACTCCTGGAGCTGCCTCACAGCGTAGGTCATCAGCTACCAAGTTCACCAGAGACCTATTGCCCCAAACGCGCGGAGGGTCAAGACCTGGCTCTCATAATGTCTTCAACAATCTCATTCTCGATGACGACCCTTTGGACGGCTCTCGCTCATTGCGAAAACGCAAAGCTTCATCAGAACAACAAGAGGATGAGCCCAAGAAACGATCAAGGAAGAACAGCGTGTTAGCTAGAGATTTAGAATCCGCGGGCCTCATCCCAGGTGGGCTTGCTGAGGACGAGGATGAGGTCGACGAAGCTGAACATGCAGATGACGCTGATGCAAGCACCTCGGCTAGACCATCAAGGTCTTCGCGATCTTCTAAGAGACGAAAGTCAGAAGATATCGGCCGTGGGTCTGCATCGATAGTCAAGAGAAGCACAGAAAGTATCGTGGTGTCTTTTCATTTGAACCCAGCACAGCTTGCCGCTCGGCTTGAACCAAAATCCAAAAAGAAAAAACCACGCCCGCGAGAGTCGACCACTGAAGTCCAACGGGAGCGTGAGCGCCCAGCACCTGTAATCTCCACCCACTATGCAACACCCTTTTACGCCTTCCATGAACGTGAGAATGATGAGCTGAAATCCAAACCATACGGTGGTGTATTATCCGAAGCTGACGCTGACACTTCAAAAACCCTGCCCTTGCAAGCTGATCGGGCCAAATTTAATGAAGCTCGTCAAAAAGCTGAAGACGATTGGAAACAGAAGCTTGCAGCTTCTGAAGCCGAGGGCGAAACAAAGGCCCGAACACAGAAATTGGCGGGGCCGCCAAGCAAGATCAAATGCGTCAACTTTGGTGGATATGAGATAGAGACCTGGTATGCTGCGCCATATCCAGAGGAATACAGTCGAAATCGCGTGCTATACATTTGCGAGTTTTGTCTGAAGTACATGAATTCGGATTTTGTTGCATGGCGGCACAAGCTGAAATGCCCCGCGAAGCATCCTCCCGGGGATGAGATCTACCGAGACGGCTCTATATCCGTCTTCGAAGTCGACGGCCGCAAAAACCCGGTCTATTGCCAGAATCTCTGTCTGCTCGCCAAACTCTTCCTAGGATCCAAGACTCTTTACTACGACGTGGAGCCATTCCTCTTCTATGTCATGACTGAGTACGATGAATATGGTTGTCATTTTGTCGGCTACTTTTCCAAGGAAAAGCGGCCCAGCAGCCTTAACAACGTATCCTGCATCCTGACACTTCCTATACACCAGCGCAAAGGATACGGCAATCTCCTCATCAGCTTTTCTTACCTCCTCACTCTCGTGGAAGGCAAAACTGGATCTCCAGAAAAGCCTCTCTCCGACATGGGGTTGGTTTCCTACCGTAACTACTGGCGCCTCGTCCTCTCGTACGAGTTGGTCGACAAGAAGACACCAATAAGCATAGTTGAGCTTTCAAAGCGAACTGGCATGACGGCCGACGACATAGTCGCTGCATTGGAAGGTCTAAGGGCGCTCGTCCGTGATCCAACCACCCACTCGTATGCCTTGAGGCTCGACCATGACTACTTTCGGCAATGCATCGAGGATTGGGAGAGCAAGCAGTACGTTAATATTAATCGCGATGCTTTAGTTTGGACCCCATACATTATGGGCCGCAACAATCTCGCGCACTATGACACTGCACCAGCGCTTCCTACTATTGCGCCTAGAGAAGACGAAGAGGAGGATAAGGGAGTAGCGCCAGAAGAGGGCGTTCAGCAGACTGCTAAGGCTGATGCTCTGGCCGCTCACGCAGCCGCCAGCAAAGCTATTGAGAGCGCGATCGACGACGCGGACGACAGTCAACCGAAACTCAACGGAAATGCCAGCGATTCGTCCAATGCAGCCGATCAGATGGACCCAACTCTTGCACAACTACACGCCCAGCTGGGCTCAACGCCTCATTTAAATCGTTCGTCACCTAAAAATACACCCACCAAACCCATACCACCATCTCCGGGACCAAATGGCATCTCAAATACACCATCTCTGCAATCCACTCCCTCTATCCCACCCACCCGATACGAAGTGTTCCCTCCAATCCCTGGCACGGCCCGTCCGCGACGGGGTGGATGGCGAGGAGGTCCACGCAAGTCTGCACTAAACGGTGCAACTACTCCGAGTGCCACACCTACTATGAGAAGGGCTGCCACTGGCTTGGGGATCGGCAAGGGTAAATCCGCAACCCCAGGCACACTGGGCCGCCAGAATCGAGCGGCATCTGCTACGCCTCGGCGGACGAGACATAGCGACGAGGTCAAGAAAGCCCAAGAAGCTGAATCAGAAGATGAAGAGGAAGATGAAGAGGAGGAAGCCACAAAAGGTGGCGTCGAGGTTGATGCACCAGGCGACAAGGAAGTAGATGGCGAAGAAGAGGACGACGAAAAAGACGCAGAAGGTGACGAGGATATGGAAGATGCGGAAGGTGAAGAGGTGTCTCGGGCTGAAGAGGCCGAGGAGGCAGCCGCTGATGCAGACTTCGACGTCGAAGACGTAGAAGAGAGCGAGGCCGAAAGCGAGGAAGATGATGCGATGGAGGACTAAAGGACGGGCTTGTCACGATATGTTTGTCGCACGCATGATGGGATCTTAGAGGGTTCTTCCACTAGGGTGGGGCGCTTCAAGGGCAGTTTGATCTCATGAAGGTCACACGGGATTTCCCATGCACTGTAGTCTACCTAGGCGTCCGATGCTCAATTCGATTCAATTGTAATTATGATACCCTACGCTTTGATTTGACTAGGCTTGTTAAGATTCATCCTTTGCTTTCTACGGGCAGAAGAGCAATGTTATTGTGGCTGTGTACTTTCAGCCTTACGGCTACTTCCCGAAAGACCAATCGCTAGGCTTCTGGGACCACCAGCTTCTCTCTGTTCTCCATCTTCCCTTCTACCACCGTAGTCAATTATCTGGTCTCTGCGTACGCTATATACTAGCCATATCTACTGTTTTCAGTATCGTTCCCCAGCTTTTTCTGTCCCGTTGAGCCTCCGGCATAGGAAGTCGTCCGCAAACGGCGATGCTGAGACATTTCCCCGCTTCCAACATAGATCGGATACGGTTGCAGAGTTGAAGCAAGCAAGGAAAGAATGATCGATACTGAATTGGCGACAGAGTCGAATGCTGTCCGCTGGCGGCGTTCAAAGCACAACAACCACAGCCAATTCAGCGAGCCTTGGCCGACAGGGCCGATTTGGAACGTTATCATTCCCACCTTGGGTGTTGAAGGGATCCCTATCCTTGCTTTTCCCCTTTTGATTCTCTCTTATTTGCTTCTCCCAAGGAAAGCGCAGTCCAATAATTTTGAGTATTCCTTAATTTATAACATGAGCCTTGCCACAGTTGGCGCCGCTGTCCTGGTTCTTTGTATCGTGGCGTATGCTATGTCGCACGCTACGGACTCAGACGTCGACCTGCATGATCCAGAGATCTTCCAGGAACGCAAAAACTTGTACCGAAACAAGCGAGATGACTTCAGAAGGAATTTTCGGGCCATGGAGGAGCTGAGGGAGTGGAAGGCTAAGAATGACGACTATGATTATGTGGAACTGTAAGTGCCTAAATGTGCTTGGAGGAGAGCCGCTCCAGACAGTGTCAAGCTGCATGATGCCTCACAACGAGCATCAATCTTCATTAGCAAGGTTTGGAATGCTGATCGCACTATCGCTCGTCACAGTAGTTCTGGAATGATCCCTCCAAATTTGGTTGGTAAAGCGACTGGCAGCAAGCCTTTCGCAAAGAGCGACACTTGGTTCTCTGTAATTCTACCCTGCCTACTCCCTTGCTAGCCTTGTCGTATCTTATATTTACTGTGCAGGAATTCGAATCCCACAACCCTTCTTCCCTCATTCTTTCCGAGTCTCAAGACTCGTATATCATCGGTAATCTCGCTAGTTACGACAAACGCCAGTACCCAGAGTTCAAGCCTGGTGAAAACACCCCTGAAGGCCAAGGCTTCGGCCACTGCCTCGTAATTTCTCGCAAGCGCATCTTCAACGTCGTCGACCCCGACGCTACAGCCAACCACTCCGCCATGCTCAAAGAAATGAAAGAGCATTTCATCACCTTCTGGAAAACCGAAGACGGCTCACCAAAGCTTCTTAGACGCGTGCGCTCTACTTTCGACGAGCAAAACACCAAGCTGGCATCTAACGACAGGAACGCCGAGTCTTGTGAGAGCTTGCGATCTACGCTGATAAAGGACTTTGACATGCTGAGTAACAGCTTCTTGAGATGCAACCCGGATGATTTCGAGTTCGCTTTTCACGCATATCCGGCTAATTCAGTGGGGCATTTGCATATGCATGTTTTTCCGAAGAATAGCGACTTGAGGAAATTCTCGACGAAGAGCCATGATTGGAAGACTATTCCAATTGAGGCGGTGTTGGAGGTTGAGGAGGAGGATCCGAGAGCGCTAGTGGAGAGGGGCAGTGGGTGAATGATGGCCGGAGATCAGCTTTGCGAGTGTCTGGAGCAGCCCATCTCAGGCAACATTCACGTTTTAAAATGGCCTCTTACAGATCCGAAGCCCCTAGGGAGAGCCATGAGACTAGACCTTGGGCGCTCGACATGGCCATTTGAGGACCACAAGCTCCACCACGTCCATATCTTGTTGTACACCTACGAACCCCTTCAGCAGCAACCTACACCGGTTACCCCAGTAGCATTCACGCTACAGGGTTCCCAAAAATCAGGAGAAGACAAACGGACCTGGAAGACTTCCCAGGATAGCCCATCCAGGTGCTCAAACACGCCCGAACTTTAGTGTAACATATGCGATTTGCTTTCATGGCTCTGACGGTACGTTCGCAAGTTAAGGCAAGGCTCTGTGGCACTGGTGCCCGCTATGTTGTAGCATGTTGATCGAAGCTATCAGTCATTTGCTGGTCATTTGCGGTGATGACTCCGTACAACGGCCCTTGCGGTGGTGGAGCCAGCGGCTGGGAGTGTGAAATGGCGATTGGACCGCAGACCTTTTGGATGATGATGATCGATGGGATAGAAACTTGCGTGCGCACCGGGCCAACACGATTGTCTGTTGTGCATACGACTGACGACATTGTGCTGGAGTTGATCACAACAAGTCTCACAGTAGGAGCACTGCGTAAGCTTCATTCGCCAATTTCTCCAAGCGAGGTCCACCGTGTCTAGCCTCGACAAGCATCGGATAATGCACTCCATTCTTGGTCTGGTCAACTGTCATTAAAACCGCGGTACGCATCAGCCATGTGCTTCGACGCCGGCAAAGACTTTGCTGATGGGATCACGTTTGAACGGGTGCTGAATGCAGGCTAAGAACTAGGCCAGCTCACGCAACTTCTAGCACTATTGATTCCCCCACAACTTCCACGTTGCCCTATTGGCATACAATATTTCGATTTCTCGAATCACGTCGTCTACTACTCTTCCCACCTTAAATACTGGAGCACGGTCAACAGGCAAACTCAGAGGATGACATCTCAACGACGGAAACACCCTTCGCCTTGCGCCCACGTCCATCAGACGGCTCGGGATCGTCGCAATCTGTGAGAATTGACAGGTTCTACTATATAGCAAACGCCGATTTTCCATCACACGTACATCTTTCAAATCGATATGCTCGGTCTCGCGATCATCATTTCTATCAATATTACGATATATCAACTTGACCGCGCGTCGAGATCAAATTGCCAGACATCGATTGGGCGTAGAGGTTCAGCCGCACCTAACCGAGCCTTTCAAAAGCCATACCAGCTGCTGGCCGTTAGGCATCATTGTTCACAGTATTATCTGCCTCATAGGCACTGTTACGAGCGTCATGAGCACGGCTGGATATAGGTATATGTGATCGGGCTGTCTCAACCCCGGGGCTGGCAGGTCAAACAGACATGTTATCGTATTCCAGCGTCAAAAAAACTCTTATGCCTGTGCGGCACAGCTTGGAGTATGTACGGTAGCTATATACAGGCGCGGGTGGGCGAGACAAAAGAGCTCTATGGCTCTAGAAGGGACGAAGTCGAATTAAGAGCCACATGCTGATGCAGGACGAGTATGTATGTTGCTTGCTACTGACAACCTTCTCTGTTTGCCGTCCATGGAACTCATTCATGATGACGAATACGAGGCCTCGCTATGAGGCCCACTAACCCACAGTGCCACTGTGGCAAGTAGCGCACTGTGCTACCCGGTGCATCGTCGAAAGTCCTGAGCCTCGTCGCAATGGAATGGGCCGAAGTCCTAAATGCCAGTTGAAACTACTAAATGCGCCAGCCCTGTGAGCTCGTATGTAACAGCTCACTCCGGGTTCCCTATCTTGAATAATCTTCCTTCCGCGATGTATGGCTCAGTCACTCCATGCGATTCAAGAGGCGCCGCCAGAGGCTTAGGTGTGCCAGCCAGCTCGCGGGGTCCACACACAGCTGCCTCTTGACCAAGCTCTGGAATCCAGATCGTAGCACTCGGATCTGATTTGGTCTCAGCGTCCGTCTGATGGCTTGGTAGCTCGGAGACGGCTCTTTGCGTGAAACGGCGTCGGCGGCGCCAACACAGCATTACCGATGCCGTGGTCAGGAGTACGAATATAACGATGCCGACTACTATCCCCGCTATAGCACCATCACCGATATCATGCTGGAGCACTGAAATGTTTTGTCCGTCTGGTGAGGGGGGCGTACTAGCCGGAGTAGTTGCAGTAGGGCCAGCGCAGTCACTGTTGCAGTGACGGGGGCCAATGGGGAACTGTGCCCACTTGCCAATTTGCTTGATGAGCTAGTTGAGGCTGCGGCTGAGGCTTGCGTAAAGGATGCAGTGTCGGTAGACTCCGTGGAGGAAACAGCGTTGTCACCAGAAGGTGGAGCTTCGTAGGAATCCGATGGATCGCTGTTAGTCTCGCCTCCACTAAGTGTTCTATCAAGACTCATTATGCTGTCTTCGTTCTGTTGCGAGAGCTCAATCTTATAATGATCGTTCGAGAGGGAGTCACTTGGCGTCCACTTCTATGACTCGCCCGTGATGTTGCTACCGATGACAGAGACGATCGGGAACGATCTAGATCTATCTAGGCAGAGTGTCGAACTCATAGGCTGACTGATTGGGACGTTAGACTTTGCGCCCGTGAATGCGGTGGAAAAGACAAGTAGGCTCACAGATCCATTACCGAACCATTGGAGATCAATGGTTACAGGATCGAACGACTGGATCGGACAGATACTACTGTAAGTATATATTGGAGGGATCGCCTCGGAATGCGTTCGGTGTAAGACTCAATCTTCGAGTCAACAGAATGAAACCGCTATCGGCGGCTTCTGCATGTTTTACTCGTTCACCATCGGAATGGTTTCTCCTTTCATTCCGGTTGGCTGCAGGTGCATGCACGCGCCTCTTAAAGAGTCACGGATCAGTCGAAGCTCCGCCCCTTCTCTGCATTCTCTTGCTGTTTGTTCTAAAGAAGGTGTGAGGCAGTATGTGTTATCATTGGCTAGGCATTATAAGGCTTGGTGCCTGCTAGTCGAAGTATCGACATTTTTCGAGGCATAAAAGGAGAGCTGATGCGTTGATAGTTTTGTCAGTGCCTTGGATTGACAATGTCTGGATTGGGAGGGTGAGGGTTTTATACGGGACACTTACCGTCTTGGGGGTTGTACACCTAAATACAAGGGGTACATACATGTATCCACCCGCGCTGCTGCATGCGAGAGCTCGGTCTGTTATGTTTCGACTCATGGACTCTTGTCTGGGGCTATATTCCGCGCTCGCTCGCCTCGGTGACTGAGCAGTTTTTCCTTTTTCAATTCTTTCGAGCAGTTTAGCTGTTGGGATTGGGGGACGTTCTCTGCCTGTTGTGCGGAGGAAGATTCGTGAGCTTGAGGACTGTGAGGTACCATAGAACCCTACAAGGCCGGCAGCTTTTTTGTAAGTTAACGGTCCGAAACGTTACCGCCGCAATTTGATGGTTACATAGTACTCCCGTCTATTTGTGGGCTTTGACTTCTGTTCGGACAAGACTTCCAAGACGTCTGCAACTCGGATACCACCAGAGCTGTGAAAGTCCGGCCGGTTGATCCTTTGCTAGTATCGGCGACCTTGATCTTTTAGGCGTGAATCAGTGTCTATTTCGCCAACGCTTTTACCATGGGAAGTCCTACAGGCTTGACTCGGGGAACACTTGGCCTTGCGGACCAGCAAATTGTATACCTATTTGCCACATAGCTAGAGCTATGTTGGCGACTTCGGGACTTGCCAAGCCAATCGCGATTGAGGGCCTCGATACTATTGACGGCGGTTTCACAGCAAATATATCCTACAGTGAAAATTCGACAACGTGGTCCGAAGAAGGCATCACAGTAATATAGCTAGCATGATCCTAAGCATCGAAGCAGGTAAGATCGACCTTTCTCGGCTTTCCCAAGGCCCCGAGGGTAGTTGCGTTATGTGGATGGACTATCTCAGAATCGTAGCTTTCGACTTCATCAGTCTATCGACTCTTCGGTCCTGCGTTTCAAGATTGCCTTTCGATATCCGCAAAATCTTCCTCCACGCCAACTGATGCCCCATCAACCCTACCTTCAAAATCTCCGGATCGCTCTCAAACTCTCAATTCTTGTCCATCGAGTCTTGCACATCCCAATCCGCCCAAACACATCTTCCTTCCAAGAACGCATCCTCCTCGCTCGCCAGCCACACCGCAAACTGTCCTGGCTATTCCACATCATCCCAAGCCATGCTCTCTTCCTTCCTTCATCCCAAACGCCCTCACCGCATCCGTCAAAACCCCGCCCAAGTGAATGCTGTGAACCCTCACGTTCCTGTCATCCATATCGTGCTGCACGCGAGCTAGCCACTGCGTGAATTCAGCCTGTTCACACCGCCCGCGCCGATTTAGGGCATCAGGGCGTGGGCGGCCGCGGTCGAGATGTCCGGGATGACCTTGTCCTTGTCGGGCTCGGGCGCGTTCACGAAGAAGTCTCTGACGAGATTGCAGTTGTCGAGGAAGTTTGTCTCGGAGCTGACGGCGTGTACCTGGGACGGGAGATGGAGGCTGTTGGCGGCACTTGCGGCATACGCTGCACTTGTGATGACGAGGACGTCGATGTCGGATGTGATTGTGGAGCGGATCTCGGAGAAAATCTCCCGGATCTGGATGGTATTTGTGATTGAGGATGCGTAGTGGTGGGATTTGGTACTTGGGTTCTCGGTTGAGAGGTCCTGGGTGGATATGAAAGGGAAATTACAAAGATTGAAGCTTCGAGAGCACTTGCCTTTTATCCTGCATTTTCATCTCTGATCAGAGGGACTTCGACCGGCAAAAGTCATCTCCTCATCCCCAAGGCAGGGTTGACATTCCGTAATCTTTTCGAAGCAAGATCTGTAACGGGTGGTGAAGCAATTGGAGGACTTGGTGTCGGAGAGTAGACTGCTACGAGGAAAAGTGGTGATGTGCAGCGGCATTTCCATCAGTGGTTGGCCGCTTGAGTCCAAAGAAGTCTATCTGTGTTTTCGGCTTGCACCTGACCGGGTGAAGACAGGTATGTGATGTCACCGAGAAGAGGGCAACGAGTATGGGAGGAAGGATCGTTCTCAACCCCCTTCCCTCCACAAGAACATCGAGCTCCTCTTATAATTTGGGTATCATGGCAGATGCATTAGGAACTCAAAAAGACTCCACAACCATCCATTGCGGAGTATCTCTGAGATCTCTTCCATTGAGCAAGCTTTTCAACTCATACTGAGAATCAGTCATCCCTACCAAGATCTCGTATCTCACAACCCTTACAATCCTCACTCCCCTTGCTACACTGATTTCAGCGTCCATCTGATCGCTTGACAGCCCGAAGGCGTTTGACAGATTTGAGGACATTTCCCCATGACCGAAACGACTACCTCTTTGTCTCACAAATGGCGCGGATTTTGCCATTACTGCCAGGTCTGATAGAAATCCAACCAGATGCTGCTCATTCCGATCTTGCCACTCAGTTGTTTCCACGTCTCGGAGGAATGTTCCTGACTAGGGAATGGGTCCAGCTGTCCAAAATCTCAACCTATCTTGTTTCAAGCATCGGAGTCCCATCTGTGGCTAGATACACGCTCACCCGCTTCATTGGTGAATTATCCTTCAGCTTTTCGTCTTTGACGCAGGTGCTTGACGGGAGAAACATTGTCTGACGTGTCCTACCTACGAGACAATTGTCGTGAGCTTTGAGATATAAGGAGCCATGAGCGCCCGCTTGACTTTCACAACACCACGTCGCCATCTCAACCCTCACCATCTTCATCACAAAATCCCCCAACACCATCTTCTCCCCCTTTTCATTTCCCCCATAACCCTTCAAACCTACCCGACCGACATCCCAAACATGACGGAACCAACAAGACCACCCGCGCCCGGCTCCCCGGACCCCAAGATGGAGAAGGTCCTCGCCATCATCGAACCCACCCTCGGCCACTTCTTCCACCGCCCCATCTACCTCCGCCAGGCGCTCCAGACCCCCGGCTCCCCCATCCACGACCACGCCCTCAATGTCGTAGAAACGACGGACGCGCGCTCCGTCGAGGAGGGGAATAAACGCCTCGCTGTTGTGGGGAACGCGGCGTTGGAACTTACGGTCGCGGATTTTTTCTTCGCGCGTGGGGCTGAGTGGAGGGGTAGGTTTTTCGACTCCTCCTTGAACGAGCGAATGTTGGTAACGGGGTTGGAAGGGGAGGGGAGGGGAGGGGAGGGGAGGGAAGGGGAGTTTGGAGCAGCGCTGACCGTTCATTGCTGACTTGATTTTGATCCGTGTTATTAGAAATCGCCACCGAATCCAAAGCCGTCGCCACCGACGCCTCCGTCCTCCAGCTCGGCCACATGATGGAGCTCGGCCCCGTCTTCGACGGGCCCGACGCCCCGACCCATCTCGCCCGGACGGTCCGGGCGGTTCTCGGGGCCGTCTTCTGCGACGGCGGCGTCGTGGGCTTGAGGGGCGTGTTGGCGCGGTTCCGCATGTTTGATGGGGAGACGGAGAGGGCGGTTGCGGGGGCGGGCGTCGGGGCTGGGGCGGCGTAGGTTGTATGTGGTAAAAGGGGGGAGGGGGGAGTGGTAGGTGCGCTGCATCGAAACTGGACGTCTCGACATGGTGGGACGGGGGTATGGGTTGAGTGATATAATCGTGTGTTGTTCAGACATGTGTCTACGTCAGAAAACACGTATTCGCTGCGAGCTGCATACGTACACACATATACACCTACCTGTTCTGCACTAGCTAGCTTCTTTCGTTCTTTCGGTCTCTATCTTTTGCACAGCTATTGTTTTCTGACCGGCTCACTCACCCAGTCATCCTTGCCTGTCTGTACATAAATAGCTAGTATCTTCGCTCCAGACCTATGTCGTGGGCCATGGAAGGGTTCTTGGCGTTGGTGTGCGAGAATAGGCCTGTGGATTCGGGCTTCTGGGGTTGCTATGGCCGGCGTTGGAATATTCCAATTGTTTGGACTTATCTTGATGTGGCCTCTGTGTGTGTGTGTGTGATGCGTGAGAATGAGAAATGGGTTTGGCTGGGAAGCTTGTGCTTTGACAGATTTTTTTCTCTTGTTTTTTTCTTTACGGCTTGTTTGACTGGTTTTTCGTAGGTATGAGATGTGAGATGTAGTATCGGCGAGGATTCTGAGGGATCGTGAGTAGGGGAGATACGTTTGTAGACGTTTTTAACGCTTTGGTTCGTTTCTTCCTCTCTTCTGATTGACGGCTGGCTTCATATTTGACCGTCGAATTGCATCACTGATCTACCTACGGCCCTGATTCACTCGCATGTGATCGAGAGGTATGAAGGTAAGCAGGGTAGGATGCGAGGATGTGGTATAGCGAACCGTTTTTTCCTTCTTCTTCTTCGTCTGAACTTTATACCTGTAGTCCCAGTCCTTTCGAGCGAGGAAGAAGAGAAAGGGAACGCGTTCAAAGCCGCCTCTTCTTGAGTGAGGGCATCAACACTTCACTACACCGCCCTCCCTCTTCCCAAGGCTCCAGAGTCCGCTCCGGACGATGGTGTTGGACCCCGAGAGGAAGCATCATTTTGCGTACGGAAGGGAATGGGGAGTCGAGCTCTTGGGTGGATTGGAATGGATTGCCGGATCGATTGTAAGCGGATGAAGCGGTGATTCGTCGGCCTTCTGCAGGGTCATGAGGGTAAGGGATGAGGGGCTGGTTGACTGGCGGTGTGAAGTCATGTTTTGCGGGCTACCTGCTCGTTTGAGATTCTGTGGTGGGAGGTTGGGCACGGGTGCGGTTGGGTGGTAGATGGTTATGCTTTGTTTTCGCCCTTGACTTGATTTCTTCCAGGTGGTCTTATTCCTTACTGTCGCGCTCGTAGTGGGTTGAGAAGGACTGAGGGGTTTTATGCTCAGACTTTTTTCATTGTTTCTTCGCAATAGAGCAATTGTTTGGGAGGAGGGATTAGTTGCTGAGTAACTATGAGAACAACCATGGGGTGATATGTGAGGACGGAAGAGGAGACGGACGGGATGTGGATTGGGGAGAACGCGTATCGTCGAGGCCCGTGAATATGTTTAGACTAACTGCAGTCGATATCGGTCGTTGTTCTCGCACTCGCTTTCAGTTATGGGAGGCTCTGCAGGCCCCGCAATCCGTGGTGATGATGCAACTTATCTTCGGACAGTCCCCCTCCGACAGTCCCCCGTCAAACTAATGTGGCTACCGGCTATACCCGCAGCCACCCGGCTTGGTATAGGCCTTGGCATAGTGGATATCTGACTGGTGGGTGCATTGTAGTCTCAGAATTCAGATTCTACATTTTAGGGGGGGGGCCGGATTATTATAATCCCGAGCCGATTCCGTCATACCCCCCTGTAGAGTCTGAGTAGGAAACCACGGAATCGCTACATTGACCGTTATTTTGTATAGGATCCTCACCAAAATTGACCGAAATAGAAAATAAATATTTTCTTTTATATATAACTTTTTATTAAGAACTCTAATAAAAAAGAAATTATTTATAAAATAACTATTTAAATGTCGTAAAATTAGATTTTTTTTCGATTTTTAATAAAGTATCTTAATTATTTATTTTTAGAAGATTTAAATTAGAGTTTTTAAAGACTATATCTTTAACCCCTCTCTTATTCTTTAACGTAAATCGAGAAAACCTTAAAAATAATCTTAAAATACTCGTTATATTTATAAGTTTATTTAAGAATACTTTTATAAAATAAGCTCGACTAGATTTTATGAAATTATATTTATAAAAAAATATTTAAAAATATTTAAAAATATTTAATAATATTTATTTAAGCTATTATTTTAACTAATTTATTAATTAATCTATAATTTTAAAATATAATTTAATAATTTATAAGTATAAATAAAGATATATAAAGTTTTATTAAATATATTTTTTAATTTATTTAATTATTATATTATTTTAAGATATTTTAAATAAAAACTAAAAAGCTTAATAACTTTAGAGATTTCGAACTTTAAATTTAGAAAATTGGATATATTATTATTATATATATTAAGAATATATTTATTAATTCTTATAAAAAGTAATAATTCGGTTATCGAGTAATAATATATCGAAGTTATAGATTATTAAATTTCTTTAGAATAGTTTTAAGATAGCTTCGAGGTAGCTCTCTTCGAGTTAAAGCTACTTCGAAATCTATTAATACTAATATATATTTAGAGGTAAATATCTTATATTAGTTAAACCATTAAAAAAATAAGACTTAATAGAGTTTTCTACTTAGATTTACTACGTAAGACTATTAAGACTAGATATATTATCGATATTTCTTTTATTCTATAATATAAATATTTAAATAAAACGTTATATCTTAACGAGTAAGAAAGATCTTATAGTGTAGATTTCCAGCGATAACTTTTACTACAATTTTAGGAACTATAATCAATCACTATAGCAAATTTTTACGTATAAAATTAGTTCTTATATTAGTAATTTAATTAAAAAAGCTTAGTTTTAGAGATGTCTACGCTTAATAGCCCTCTATTTAAATCTAAATAAAGTCTCTATAGAGACTACTATTAATATCTTAAGATATAAAATTATAATATTCTTACTAAAAAAGACCTCGCTATTAATAAAGGTACGCTTATAGATAGCTAGAAAGATAACGAAGATACGCTTCTTCTTATCTATAATTATCGTAATATACTTAACGAGTAAAGGCCTATGAATTAAATTCATAATCATTTTTTTGATTAGAACTATCGAGTAAGTAGATAAGCGATATTTAAATTCCTTACACTTTAATAATTATAGGACTAAATTTAATAATTCTTTCTTTTTCTAAAAGCCCATATTTCGTTCTATAATTTAAAAAATAAATCTTAAAATTTTAATAGAAAATAAAAAAGTTATTCTAAAATCAAATAATGTATACCTGATTAGGGCTGTTCGGCTGTCGAGCGGACTTTGGTAAGCGAACTTTGGTGAGCGATATTTGAATTCCTTACGCTTTAATAATCATAAGATATAATTTCAAAATTCTTAAAAATTCGGAAAGCATAAACGGCGCTTTAAAATTTAAAAAAAAAATCTCAAAATTTTAATAGAAAACAAAAAAGTTATTCTATATATTAATAATATACGCCTATTTTTTTAATAAGGGAGACGCGAAAGGGCGAGATTTTAATGGTTACGGACGCTAATTTATTTACCCGCGATAACTTAGCCGGTCTAGTTAAAAGGCGTAATAACTCCGAATTAATAATTGGCTATATATATAAATTTAAGATTTTCTAGTTTAGCTCTATCTTATTCTTTTATATATATTAATAATATTTATAATATATAAATAAACGAAATAGAAGTTAGATTTAAATAGAATACGAGAATATAAGAGAAAGATAAGTATTTACCTACTTATAATATCTATTAATATCGATCTTCTTATCGATATTAGCGATTTAATTATAATAACTCTTTAGAAAGATAATAATATATTAATACTCTTATATATATTAGCGAATAATAATATATACGACTAATATTATAACTTAGCAATAGTTATATACGATATAAGCTCTTATTCTACTACTATTATACTACCTTCAATCCATTTATAATATATCCTAAGTACTACGTCGTCGCTCTAAAGAATTACTTCAAAATTAATAAAGTGAAAGGAATTCATCTAAACTTGAAGTCTTATAATCGGATGAATAGGGCTGGCGTAACCTCTTATTTAAATTAGGTGGGGCCGAAAGCTTAACGTATAGATCGTGCGCGGGAGGCTTTTTTAGTTTGACGGGGGACTGTCGGAGGGGGACTGTCCGAAGATAAGTTGGTGATGATGTTGGATAGGTCCATTTTCTTCAAGTCATATGGCGTTTCCAACGATCCTTGGGATAGGTTTCCTCTAGACAGGCTTTCTTTCTTTCTCCAAGCTGCATGGCACGCTCAGACTCCACCCAGTATGATTATTCCTCACAATAATTTCCACAACTATGGCGGCGCGACTCGAAAAAGTAACCCCCCGCATCGCCCTCACTCACAAACGTATCGAGGATATCATCTTTCAGCGGTTCTAGAAAACCTCTCTTCCGTGGGAGGCTCTGCAAGGCATCAGGACATCCGTGTCGGGCATGACCGACAACGGAACTTTCCCCGATGGTAATAAAAGTCTGACTCTTATTGGGGGATTCGCAATCGGTCTTGCGTTGGCGGAGAATGTCAAATCCGGCGCAGAGAGTGCTGAAGGTATGTACGTTTGTCGGTTTCTCGCTCGAATGCTGGATCTGGAGTTTTCAATTACTTATGATGACCTGGGATACAGATTTGGAGACTATCGTGCGCAGGTTCGGTTCGGATAATCTCCCGCGCTATATTGGTGAGAAGGTCGGCTTGGTACAAGTCCTCGTTTCCGATTACATGTGTTCGGCCAAGGTCGCTGAGGCGGAGGAGGTTACGATGATTATGTTTGTTAGGACTATCCTTGACGCACTTTATCTGGATACGGGTATGAGTGGGGTTAAATCGTCGCTGGGAAAGTGCGATGGGGTCCTTGGGAAAAGGAGCAAGAGTGAGCCTGGGGCAGATGCGGCGATGGGATATTTGGACGTGTTTGATGAACCGTATGGTGAGGATGAGGGGGAGGGAAAGCGTACGAGAGGTAGGGAGGCGGGGTGCTGTGGAAATGGTGCGTTCGTTTATGTGGTACTTCGTGTTCTCTTCAGGGTCTTTCTTGATCTGTTGGGTGTTAATCGATTTATGTAGCAGATATCGTGGAGATATGTGGCGCGGTATGAATGGCTCTGTTCATCTGCGTTTAGAGGAAGTGTTCTTTTCAATGCGCAATGAGCTGTCTCGCTGATCTTCAGTGTGTAAGTCTTGTGTCAGTGCAGCTATGTACATTTTATCCTAGCCAATCGGGAAGTATTCCATTTCTCTAAATTCCCAGCTCTCTAGGACCTCGATTGCGCCCTTATCAGCTACTAAGCGAGCATATCCCCATGGCCGGCACTCTATCACAAGAAAATGCTAACGAAGCAGTCGAGCGCAGACGATGACGCATTCGAAGACACACTCTTTCTTTCCGAGGCTCTAGATTTGTCCTTTTCTCCCGCCGACAGTAACTTGAATCTTGCTGAAGGGTTCAACGGCGGTCGGAGCAAACGAAGTCAAGCTCTTATCCATTTCATCTCTACGATTGCTGGAGATCAACAGATAGCTTCAAGACAATCCTTAGAACAAATATATAAACTGATTCAGTGATATCGGTTGACGAAAGAGATCGCGTCGGACGATAATATGGTGAGTATTGCGAATGTGAGAGAGCTAGGGGCGTGTTGGGGACCGGACACTTGTGTTGGGGCTGACTATCAAGAAGATTTTGAGGCCGGCTTATCTTGATACGGATTGGAAATTAGTCGTGACCTAATTTGGACTGCTTCTTCTACTTCTCGTCATCAGACGTGGTTAGCGTTGCAGATTGACATAAACTGGTCAGTACGAGGGTAGATCCTTTAGTAGAGCCGTCAGTCTGCAAATAAGCATGTTCCGGTTATAACATGCTAGCCGTGGTGGCAATTTCGAGTGCAAACTTCCGCTCAGCGTATCATTTGAATGGCCTGGTCGCTGTGTGTGTGATTGGTTGATCGATGTGTGAACCATGGTTGTCCCAGGCGACAATTTCGATTAGCAAGAGTGGATCTTCAAAGGCAAAGCCGACAATTCCGAGAGTATTGGATACGTAGACACTGCATTCGCGGAGCCAGTATTTATTAAGCCTTCTCCGCCCTCTCTTTCTCCTTTCGTACCTCCATCGTCATCCGGTTTTGCCAATTTTGTAATTCTTCGAACTTCCCCCTAGCATCATTTGCTCAGATCCTTCAGCACATATCAGACGTCATGTAAGCTGAGGTTCCTAAAGGGGACTCGGCTACCGAGTAAAGCCGTAGTGTGGCTAAGACTCTTAATACACGTAGACTTAAAAAAGAAGCTTAAAGGGGTCGTTTTTCTTCTTACTTCTATAAGAATTAGTCTTATTATAAAATATATATATAAATACGAGTAAAGGTCTATAAATTAAATTCATAATTTTTTTTTAATTAGAGCTATCGAGTAAATAAATAAGCGAACTTTAATAAGCGATATTTGAATTTCTTACACTTTAATAATTATAGAACTAAATTTAAAAATTCTTTTTTAATCTAAAAGCTTATATGTTAGCAACTCAGCTAAAAAAGCTGGTTCCGGGGGTGTCTGCGCTTGACAGCTAGACACCCCTATTTGGACCTAAATAGGGCCCCGTAGGGCCGTCGCAGGGCCCCCGTGGGGGCTGCTGCTAACAATGCCTCTCCCTCTAGGGGGCTCGTCCTCGAGCTCCGAAGATAGACAGTGCAAAAATCGCAATGTCCCGGGGACTCTTCCCCGAAAGATCCACGATTTTAAGGACAACATGCCCTGTGCTCCGGGGTTTACTCCCCCGAAGACTTCTAAATGCCCGCCATTGCGGGGCTTCAAATTTGCCCACGGGGCTACCAAGTGAAAGGCCTGTGGCCCCGCCTTCACGTCGGTAATGTGGGAATGGGGCTGTATTCCGGGCCTGTGACCCCGCCTTAGCGCACACAAATCAAATTCAGGCCTATTTTGGCCGGCCTCGGGGTTTCTTCCCGGGCGTCTGCTTGGGCTTTTTGCCCTGGGGCGTTCTGCCCGAAATGTCCTCATTGGAATGGGGCGTCCTGCCCGAAAATATTCGGCTTCGGGGCCCGCCTTCGGCGTGACTATTACCCGAGCGACCCTCTGAAAAAATCAAGTTTCTGATTTTTTGATGGGGGATCCCCAAGCCAGGTTACAGCTCGGCAGGGGTGAAAAAAAGTTCGACAGGGGTGAAGCTTCAGCATATGCTCGCTTTACCTCGGATAAACTCTTCGCATATATTAAACGTATTTATTTTATCTTAAATAAATTTAAATTAAATTTAAAATAATATTAATACTTTAAAAAGAGATATAGATATATATTATATATATATCTTAATCTTTATAATTTACTTTTTATTATAGACTTTATCATTAAATAATATTTAGAATAATATATATATTAATTATATAATAAAATTATATTAAAAATAAATATATAATAAATTTTAAAATTATTAAAATTAAGAGATTATAAATTTAAGAAATTAATATTATATAATAAAAGTAAAATATATATTAAATATATACTAGTAAGTTTTAATCTTTAAATAAATCTTTATTTAATAAAAAATTAATAAAAAATATATTTAATAAATAAATATTTATAATAAATAGAAAACTTCGTTTTTAATTATATCTAATTATTATTATTAATATAAATAAATAATTAATATATATAAAAGAATAAGATAGAGCTAAGTTTAAAAATCTTAAATTTATATATATAGCTAATTATTAATTTAGATTCGCTACGCTCTTTAATTAAATCGGCTAAGTTATCGCGGATAAATAAATTAGTATCCATAACTATTAAAATCTCGCCCTCTCGTATTCTCTCTTATTAAAAAAATAGGTGTATATTATTAATATATAGAATAACTTTTTTGTTTTCTATTAAAATTTTGAGATTTTTTTTTTAAATTATAGAACGAAATGTGGGCTTTCAGATAAAAAAAGAATTTCTAAATTTAGTCTTATAATTATTAAAGCGCAAGGAATTCAAATATCGCCCATCAAAGTTCGCTTACCAAAGTTCACTCGACAGCCGAATAGCCTTAATAAAAAAATAGATATATATTATTTAATTTTAGAATAACTTTTTTATTTTCTATTAAAATTTTGAGATTTTTTTTGAATTATAGAATAAAATATATGCTTTCAGAGTTTTTTTTCTTTCTTAAATTTAGTCTAATAATTATTTAAGCGTAAGAAATTTAAATATCGCTTATTAAAGTTCGCTTACTAAAGATCGCTTATCTATTTACTCGATAGCTCTAATTAAAAAAAAAAATTATAAATTTAATTTATAAATCTTTACTCGTATTTAATATTATAATAAAAAAAAAAAGAAGATTTATAAATATTTAAATTTATATTATAATTATTAAAATATTATATATATTTAATATTAGTAATATATATTTTTAACTTTATATATATATTAAATTTTATTAAATTATTAATTAAATACTTAATTTATTTACTCTAAGTTATATATATATATATATTATATTTATCTAGCGTTAACGTATTTTTTATATTTATTTTTTAAATTTCTAATATTTAATATATATATTATAAATTACGCTATCTTATCTTTTTATTATTAAATACTATATATATATTAAATATATTATTTATATAAATCGCGATTTATAATAATCTCTAGATTATTAATATAATTAATTTCTTTATATTTAAATATTATTATAATAAGTATATACTCGATATTAATAAATATTATATTAAATATATATAGTAAAACTAATAATTAATATAAATATTATTTAAATTTCGCTTTATAAATTATATATATATTAAAAAAATAGATAATATATATTAAGTTAATAATTAGCTCGCGTTATTAATATTATTATAAATAATTATAATAATAAATTTAAAATATCTTTATAATATATTTATATTAAATATATATAAATAATTAGATAATTATAATTAAAAATATATATTTATATATCTTAATTATTTATTAGATATATATTAAATATATATAATAATATTTAATCTCGAAGAGACTCTCTTAATTATTAATAATAAGATATTAGTCGTTATTACGCTTTATATATTCTAAGTATATATTAACGATATATAGCTATTATATTAGTATATATAATAGAATAAGATAGAGCTAAGCTTAGAAATCTTAAATTTATATATATAGTTAATTATAAATTCGAGTTCTATACGCTTTTTAGTTAGATCGACTAAGTTAGCTCGATAGCTCTTTCGTATTTCCCTTATTAAAAATTTATATATAGAAGTTTTATACTTTAAAGTACTTAGCTTATAATAGATATAGTTACTTTATAATTTCTTAAATTATAAAGCTCGCTTTACGCTTTCTAACGCTATAAAAATAATAAAGTTTAATTTACTATTAGTAAATTAAACTAATATTTAAATATTATAATTATATTAAACGCGTTTAGAATCGAATAATAATTCTTTTATCTATTTATATAATTATTATTCTTTTACTACTCTATTAATCTATTAATTCTATTAATATAAATATAATTATTCTCGATATCCCTCGTGAAAACGTTATTAAACGCTTTAGGTATATATACTTCTTTTACCCGCCTTTTAAAGCCTCTATTAACGCCTTTAAATTATCTCTCGACGAATTCGCTACTATTAATAATTAAGGCCGTAAGCGAGCTTAATAGCTATCTACTACTACTTATAAACGCGTTGAAAGACCCTTAAAAAGAGTCTAAACGAATATGTTTTTTTCTATATACTTCTCTTAAGCTAGCGATAGTATCTTTTAATCTAGCGATGCTATCTTCTAAGACGCGTTTTTCTCTACTTAGTCTAATACTCTATAAGAGAAGAAGTAAGAGAAGAAACTATAAGAGGTAAATACGAAGAATATTACGGAGAAATCAAGCGGTAATAAGACTACTATCGTTAAGAATACGACTTAACTCTCTAAGATTCTACGTTATATTAGTTATTTACTTAGTTAATTACTTAGCTAGCTATTTAGTCTAATACTTTATAAAAGAAGAAGTAAGAGAAGAAACTATAATAGATAAATACGGAGAATACTACGAAGAATACTACGAAGAAATTAAGCG